ACAACTTGTCATTTGATGAAAACTGTGACCATTAAAAGCCTTTCTACAGGTTTTTAACTTCAGCCTGGAGTGAGTAGGAATTTATTTTGAAAGAAGCAGAAAAAAAATTGAAAATGTTATCCCTTTGTGCTTCCGTCCCTTGTACAACACCTCCATGCCACTCACAGGTAAAACCAGACAAATTAACACCAGTGCCTTGTGACATTTCTGTCAGCATGCTGACCAATTGATCTAACAACATACTGCTTTTTCCCAGGCCATTAGAGCATGGACGTTAAAAGGTTCAAATATGAAGTCACAAGATCTAAAGAACCACCACCTTAGAATACCTAAGTTATTTATATTTAAAGAAAAACCAAGATCCTTAAAAGTGACTGGCAAATTTTGCAAGCACTCATCATTTACAGCTCTTCAAAGGGCTCAGAATTTAATCTGAGTTACTTATTTCCCTACAGTAAGATCACTCAGCATATACAAACACCACCACCATCAAAAAGTATCTACTGGTAACCTCCCCCATGGTTGAATTGCGTTTTGTGAGAGGAGAGAAGGGAATCCGGATTGTAAAGCCATGATTCTCACAAGCTGGCTGTAACAAGTTTATCTGCGCCTTCAACAGAAGTTTGAGTTTAATTTTCCCTTGTTTCATTGCACAGCACTAAGTAAATACTTGCTTGAAGAAGCAGACGGTGAAAGAAATTGGCTTCTTTTTCACAGCTACTCATACCAGGCAGCTCTAGGACTTTCACAGAAAGCCCTTGCATATGCTGCTTGAGAGATGAAATAAGGGACTCATTACAAGCAAGATGTGTCTAAATCACAGAGAATTTAAATGTAGGTGTGTAGCACAGAAGGCAGTGAGAAAAGACATTAAACAACCTGCAGCCATCCTGGCATAATACTTTCTAAGGAACATTTCAAGGAGAAGCCAACTAAGAAGCTGGAATGAATACTGTGGTTAAGTCTTGTGTAGCAATCAATAAGCCAGAATCCTAATTTTACTTCAAATACTCCAAGACATACTCAGCTTATTATGGACAGCTGAGAAAGAGAGCATCTGCAAAGCTTCTAACTTACATTTGGATGTGCATATAGAACTGGTTTTAGTCTGCCAGCATGAGCTGACATAACTGCTGACCAGACCAAAAATTCAGAGAACTGCTACATACTATCCATGAGCAGCACTGGAGCATGTTTTGGATTACATTCTTATGCAGTATTTCTCTCTATCTTACAGAAAGAGAAGGGAAAGTAAAAACCAAGTTGTTACACTGTTATTAGTAAAATGTTAGTGCAATAGGGCAAACAAAAAGGATTTGGTAAAAATTAGTCCCCCTTGGGAAGGAAAACATTACATAGGAAAAAACATTATGACTGTTCTGTGGTAAAATCTGGGATAGGCATTACATTCCCAGGCAACATTTCATATGAAAACAAAAGGGCACTTGTGGAGGACTATAATGAAATCAGTCAGATGGAAAAATCTGGAAAACTGTTCCACCAGCCTCCTTTTGTGCAAGGTAGAAATTGAAGCAAAAAGGAGGGAACGAGATAGGAAATGTACAGATGAGAAACATGAGGAAACAGGAAAGGGCTTCCAATCACGATGAAGAAAAAGGCTTCATGAAGTTTGAACTAGGCAAGTTGGAAAGTTAAGAGAAAGTTAAGACTTTTGCAAGAAGCAAAAACAACATGACAACTGATTTACTAGTGAACAAGGTAGTGAAAAATAGTTATTCAGAGAAGAATCAAAGGTATCTGGGAAATGCTGAATTGTAAATACTATTAAAAAGGCTTCAGTAATGATTTGCTTAGTGCAGCATTCAACAATGAGGTTCATAGGTTTGGGAAACAGGAAAAAAACTAAGATTTTGAAAGGATTTCCCAAATGAAGATAGAAATGGCTTTCATTTTGAAATTCAAAGTCTGAAATCAAGTTGAGATTCATGGAAGAGCCAATTTAGGTAAGGTTACTTAAGTATGTTCATTATAATGTATTCTAATCTATTCCCTATCTAAAAAACCCAAGGTATTTTAATTCTCCAAATCCTTTATTCTGTTTTATATTGCCTAAAATTTTTTTAAAATAGCACTACTTAAAATTTAACCTCTGATAAATTTAAATAACATGCAAAACATGTCACAAAGTCAAAACAATGGAAAAGTATCAGGTTTGTGTTGAGTGTCATTTGAAATAACATGATTCTTCACTGTAGTCACAAAAATTTAATTTTTATTCATACCAATAAAGCCGTTGTGGTTTTACAATGGTTTCTTCCATTTATTTATTTACTTATGTACGGAAGCCAACAGCAAAACTTCATTGACTTCTATAAAGGAATTTGCTTTAGCAGGAGGGTTAGACTCAATGATCTCCAGAGGTGTCTTCCACACCTGCAATTCTGTGATAAGAAGGTTCAATTCTTGTATGTTGAGCATATACTAGTGTATTGTACTCCCATGCCTACATTATAATGACATCCTTTATATTTTCAGAATTCTATATCACAACTCCATCACTTCCATTGCTTCCATCTTTACCTCACTTAATTCTCATATTCCACTGTAGGGCCTGATTTAATTTGTTCTTCTCATCCTCCCTCTTGCTCACAAACTCTATTTTCTCAGCTCCCTCTCTCCATGATCTCTATGGATAACATTCCTCTTCCCTATCATATTTTCCCATGGTTACATCCTTAAGCTACTGCAGATCTGCAGGTGTGCCCTTAAGTGTTCAGTTTCCAGGGTTCCATGACTGAGTCTTGAATTTCACTCCCAGAGAGTCTGAACACCACATACGCATCATGTTTAAGAAAACACCAAAAAACTGGAAATATTTCCTTTAAGTCTAAATGCAATACAAAAAAAAAAAAACATTTCTGTTTCTTATGAAAGCCAAGCCAACGTCAAGCAATCAGATAAAAACACTGTCAGGAAACCAACAGCTCAATAAATACTGCATGTTTTCGCTAGAAATTCACCCATACTTGTTGACTACCAAGATACTTATCTGCTGTTAGAAGCATTCCCCGTCTATCAGTTTATATCTGTTTAGCAGCAAATATACTTCTGCTATCTCAAACAAATATCCTGCTTCTTGCAGCTCTTCATAATTGCCAGAGAGAAGGCAGAAACAAACTGTCTCTCTCTCTTCCATCCTTCTTAAAAAAGCTGATTTTTATGTGGCAACTTTTGCTTTCATGTTCCTATGAGAATTAAAGCAGACATGCTAAAACATTCACATGCCAAAAACTGGATTAAATTCCTGTCTGAATTGAACATAATGATTTTTATAATTTTTAAGTTCTGTTTTGATACACAGTTTTGTATACACACCTTTTAGCTGCATTTTCTACATAAAACAAGCCTGAAGTTTTAGATTTTCTTCCCAGAAAAATATAAGGTTATTGGAACTTTTTCTCCCCTGACACTGTACAGAAATTTAATACTAAACAATGAAGTTCAGCTTGCAGGACAGATGCTTCCCTGAATAGTATATTATAGCTTTCAAACTGCAAATTTGAGATAAGCCTAGGCTTTTGGGATGCTTACTTAATCTAAGCCTGGACTGTGAACAATCTGAAGTTCACACACCTCCAGTGATGAAACAGCATAGTCAAAGAGGTGAGAGCAATCGATACAAGTGCAGCAGTACTACTACTATAGTGTTTTGTGTTTGTTTTTTTAAGTTTAAATAATTGGAGGTATATAAAGGCAGAACTTTTACAGACACTTAGCACTATCAGAAGGAAAACAATAAGAAAATACAAGGGAAATACAGACAGGGCTGGGTTTTTTTTGTTGTTTTTTTTTGTTGTTTTTTTAAATCTAATTACCATGTCATGAGGGTTAACATTACCAGGACTATGATCAGGGAGACTATGACCAGAACTATAACAAGAGAGACTCAGCAGCTGTCAGCAGCCCCTCATTATGCTTACAAATGAGCTGCGGTGTGAACTGGAGTGATCAGGAAGTCTTTTTCCACAAATTCTTAAACAAAACAGAAACACTGCAAATGGTTAGAACCTGGGTACTTCAGGAAAGAAAAACAAAAGGCTGTACATACTTAAGGAGGGAAAGAAGATGCAACAAGAGAGGAGAAGTAGACAAGAAGTAAAACATAGGAAATTTTATAACAGCACTGAATACCACAAATTACCTAAAACAAACACATTCTGCATTCTACATAAGTGTCCTTTTTAATCTTTTGATTCCCCTAATATGTATAAAACTAAATCTAAAGGTAGAAATACATATATTGAAGTCTAACTTCATGTATTATAAGTAATATTTTAGATAATTCTATGCTGAACCATGTGGAAAATTCCTAAGAAAGCAGTCAAAAAGTAATAACTTTTCAGTCTAAAGCATTTGAGCCAAATCTTCTCAAAGAGAGGTTTTCAGATACCATAGCACAAAAGTGGTTGAAGCTACCATCTAACATGGACCTACATTTACTGAAAGCTGCTAGATTCAAATCTATGGTGATGCCACAAGTAACCCGAAGTGTGCTGCTCTGTGGGTATTTCCCATGAGACCAAAGATACTACACACACTGAAGTAACTCAAGCAAGTTCCATTTTTAACCCAAAAAGCCATTTAAATTTCAATTCAAATATTGTATTTATCCCCAGTTGGGTCACTTCCCTCTCTCTTCATTGACAAATTGATTTTAGCAGTGGTTGATTATATTCTATAGATTGAGTTCAATTGCTTCTTAATACAATCCTATGATTCCTATATCTTACACCCTCAAGCCCATTTGTATTCATTTAAGATCAAAGGTGATAGTAGGCTTAAAACATCCTAGGAAAGACCAGGGTTGGGTTGGGGTGGAGGGAATAGAGGGGTAGAGAGAAATAAAACATCTTTTCACATGTAGAATTCACTTTTAGTCAGAGTTTTAGACAGACCATTACCTCAGCATCAGACTCAGGCAAGAAGAATTGGATTATGCCATGGCAACTGGCTGTTTTTCATCTTTGTCTTTCCCCCAGATACCACTGGCTATGAATGTGTCAACATTTCTTGCCTATGATCAGCCCACGATAAGTTACTGTGGAGTACATCATGAACTGCTTGCTCACAAAGCCTACAACTCGAACACCCAAGAAGAAGCAGTGGAAACACACCTAGAAACTGATCTGGATCTGAGCACAATAACAACAGCAGCACGAATCAAGGAACACAGTCAGCAGCTGGCTTAACTTATGGGGGGTTGGTGGTCGTGGTGATTTTTATTTTTCCCTGTAGCAGAGGCTGCAACCAAATTCTATGTAACATTATCAAGAAGTGAGAAGACATAATATGGATTCTAGGATCCCTGTTTAATTTTTAAAAGATCCACGAAGGTTAATTGTTTCAAGTCTACAATTTGTAATTAGTTAAGTTGTGCAGTATTTTTTGACTTTAAAGTATGATCCTTGAAATGAATCTTTTTTCAAAACTCATCCTACCTGCCTGTATAAACTGTACAGATGTAATGTATTTTTCATATTGTAAAGTTTCAATTACCAAGAACAGCTGGTATGTACAGTACCATAATTTAATTACATCTTACAAGTTTCAGTTTCTAAAGTTTTAAATTAACAAAAGTTATTTCTTGTGTTATTCAGTTACTCTGTTTTGTAGGGATCATTTTATTACTGCTTCTGTGCCCAGAAACCTATAGCCTAAAATTCTGTCCTTTGCAGAATATGCACCATTTTTACCATGTTTAAAGTGTAGAATTTTATCTACTTATTCCAGAAGTAATGCATTAACCAAAAAGATGAACTATTCAGACGTCAAAGAAATTCTTGAAATACATAGCCAATTTTTCTTATAAATGAAAGCCAACAAAAATTTCACAGTTCTCCTCAGACTTCCCTGACATATATTCAGCCTGATTTTTAAAATCAGAAAAATGTAATGACGAACAGCATTTTAAGAACAGAGTTTATACGTGGAACTGTTAATCACTCTTGATGAAGTTTTGTAAAGTCTCACTGTTCTGCAAGACAAAATGAAAAGGAGGCTTCAACAGGCAGCTGTCTTTACAGAACCTGTTCTGAAAGGATGGCCTGCCAAATCAGCATTGGTATTTAACTGTAAAGATACAAGGGTCAAAACCTTCTTCTATCAGACAGTTGTTTACAGATACAGTAACAGAAACAAGCCCTCAAACTTGGAATTATACCAGTTCTGGAATATAAAATATTATTCAAAATCAAGAAGTCTCTATTTGGAAGAAAAATACATTTATTTTAACCCAATGGTGAAGGTTAACAGTCTTTTAACACACTGAATCAAGAGAAGAAAAAAATCTTTGAATACAACAAATGTAGTATTAAGTTTTAACAATTACTACATTGCTTATTTGTTTACATTTAATACTGAAGTATTCTTATATCCCATTGTTTTGTTTTGAATCTCCAAGACTTCTCAATACTGTATAACTTCTACAACATAACCCTCAAGATGTAATCATAAAAGATTACAGAAATTAGATTCATATTATATCATGCTGACTGGGTGAAATATAAAAGGGAACAGAAGCCTTCCAAAAAGAAGAGAAAAAAGTTTCATATGGTGAAGCAGCTTTTTTATAATAAAGAGAAATAATATAACCACAATATATTTTTCTGAATGTTTATCTCACCATATTTTCATGTAGCTTCAAAACAGAAGACTGAAATTTAAAATTACAGTTCAGCTCTTTTCAGAAAATCTAAAGCAACTATAATGAAAAACAGCTTCAAAATATTGATGAAAAATTAATCTGCATTCACTATCTTTGAAGAGTCAAAATTGTATTGGTTATTTACTTAGCATTTTAGATTTTGTAACATTTTGCATAAATTATTTGCTATTCAAAATATTACTTGCCTTTCAAAGACTGATCTTAAAACTCAACGTTTCAGTTTCTTATGTTTAGTGTGTGTATTCTTGAATTTCTAGTCATTGTCTTCAGTGCTGCAATTTTACTATGCACAGTTTGAAAATACTTTGCTAATTATAAATGGAGAAAAATATGCAGGCATAATTCTGGAGCTGAGTGACATTTGTACTCCAGGAAGAAGTGAACTGCTTTATTTCAAAGTTACTTTAAAGTTTAATGCTCAGTCATTCTGGTCAAAGTTGGTCTGAGATGTTAGGCTTCAACATCATCTTATATCAGTTACTCTTACTCTATCCTCATTCTTTACTTTGATCCACTGCCCTCACAGTGTGTGAATTTGGTTCTGGCATTGATGTAATTACTCAAAGTACACAGGTGTTTCAAGGCTCCAGATACTTCTAGTTGGTGAAGAACTGTACAACAGGAATATTTTCTATTATTATCAGACACTAATGAATTTAGGGCCATGAGTTTTATTATGCTAAGATAAATTATTTTTGTCAAAACTGGCTAAAGAGACAACTGTGTATACACAAACACCTTTACATAATGCAAATATTTCTCCCTTTGCTACTTTCTCTTAATAGTGAGTCATATATTAATGACTTGTCTTATACCCCTCCTGGAAGATTTGCATTAAATCAAGATATCAATTGAAAACGGAAGAAAAACAGGGTGACATAAATAGCAACAGCACTATCTCAATCAATTCCTTGGGCATTTGTCAAGCTCGGCCCTCTGTAACCCAGTTAGGCCACTCTTTGATCTCATGTTTGCTTCCAGTGCTCTGACAGGCAGACACAGCTCCCCTGGTTGCAAAATGGAATACGTACATACCTACACCAAATGAAGAGTGTTTCTATACCTATAACTGAATTCTGTGGTTTTTTTAAATGGACTATGTCAACCTGGAACTTGCTATTCTCTGCAGGATGGAAGTCTACAAGGACACTAAATGTCAGGTAAGTATCTTCCTAAAATAAAGACAATTAAAAAAAATTCAGTAAAGCTAATCAAGATAAAAGACTTACTCTTTAGATCCTACTTCTGGAAAGCTGATGTTCATACTCCTGAAGATAACTGTTGGCTATGTACTGATTTGGACCACAAGGAAATAGTAAATAGAATTTAAAAATGTATCATATAAAAAAGCCCTAGGGTGATAATATAGCAAGAAGGAAGTAGGCTAAGCCTGTGGATTCAAATACTTACAAGTCAGTTGGATATAGCATTTCCCTTTGCAATTAGATTCATAAAATAGAAATAGATGTAGCTAACAATACTAATCTCATTCTCAGTTAAGTGATACTATGAAACTATTCCATCAAGAAAGAGCTGGACAAATTTATTATGCTTAAAATATATGAATTGATGAATAGTGTAACCTCTATAAACCAGCCAATTTTAAGGAAATCAATAAGTAACAATTCCCATTGTCCATCAGTGGATCATTGTTATACAGTAGTTTACAGGACTCAAACAGCCATTAGGAAGTTGAGAACAAGTATTTGAATGGAGGCCTCCCTTAAGGAACAAGGTATAGATGAAGATTTATGATTAATCTGACAGATCACCACATATTGCAAAACACCCCAAATACATTCTAGTATATTAAAATTACAAACACCAGAATAACATCAATACAAAGAAGCAAAAGCGTGTTTCAATTAAAAAGTGATCAAAATTTACAATATAATATTTTATACAAACTATTCACAAGGAGCATAAAAATAAAAGCTAGATAATGATCAAGATGGATCACAAATGGCAACATACAACAAACTACAACAAACATACCAGCCTCAGAAGTTGTGTACTGCCTTGCTCTACTTACAACCATGTAGATTCCAGCATCAGGCATTAACGTAACTCAGAACACTAATGCTGCAGCCCTGTTTTCCTCCTAAAGATTTTAGAAACTTTCAGTGGAAAAGCATGGGATTGATAACTCTAGCAAAAGTGATACTAATGATATTGTGGCAAGTTTTAATGAGAAACTGTAAATTTATTTATTTTTAATCCTTAACTAAAATTTATGTCAAATGATGTAATTAAAAGGTTTCTGTGAGATCTAAAGAAAGCACACAGCAATATTTCCCCAAAAAGCCCCATCAGACATCACCCATTTGTAGTGCAGGGACTTAGAAAGCCACAGAGAGTGTTTTAATATCTCTATGAATTTCCTGAGTGCCCTTTGAAGTCATATAAATTTTTAATATTCAGAAGTCCTGCAAAAAGTAAATTTACTTTGACAAAAAAGTCACTTTTTCTTTGTTGTAGTACAAATGAATGACAGTGTAATAGAAATATTTTTCACTTCCATATTTGACAAAGAAATAGGATTATCATATAATTAGTAGTGACAGACTGATGACTTTCTGGTAGTTTGAATAAAATCCATCTATCCGTCTAAAGCATAGATATTATCTGAAAACCCATAGACTTAGTGATCAGATTTCCCCACTGGGAGCTACTTAAAGCCAATATTCAGCACACCAAATAGCAGAATAATTTTTCAGCTTTCTCAAGTCCATCACAAGCTTGAATGCAAACAAAAAAAAAAAACCAATCATGTTTCTTACAAACTATTGCAAAACACTCTTCAACACAGAAAGAGATGCACAAATCTTGTATTCCATGCAGGCTGGATTACGCGATTCATATCTAAAGCAAATAATCTTTAAATGCCTAAAAAAAATTCACTTTTAAGTGAATTGTTAGTGCTATTATAACATAAGGCCAAATTCTATCCTTCTGCTCTAATTATAGAACCTGATTCATCTGAATTATAAAGTTTCTGAAAAAATCAATTCGAACATCAGAGTTCATGATTAATGTTATTTTAATGAATACCTAAGGAATTAACAGTTTGCCACTAGAACCTTGCTCAGAATTTTTATGTGGCTCTGAAGTGCAGCATGTAAAACTGAAAATCCCATATGGCATAGAACTTACAGTCTACTTTATCAACACCAATTTTGTATGCAAATAAATCATTCTTAAAATCATCTCTTTAGATGGTTAACTACAACAGAGCACCAGTCGTATAACAGGAAAGGAGTCTGCAACATGTATTCATTATATGCACTCCTGTTATATTATAAATCTAATACAATTGTGAGAGCGCCACCACTACAGATGTGACATGTGTAATCATGGTAATTTACAAGTGAGTATTAATGTTGCATTCATATGGACTTTCTATTAAAATCAAATGACCAATGCAAACAAAAAGCTATTGTAATGAAAACTGGAAGAACTGAAAGTTCACCTATTTCAGAACAGTTTTTCCAGTTTCTATACAGTACCTCTCACTTTCTATTTCATAAGAGACAAACTTTTATGGAGGATGCAATTCAGCAATAACTCTATTTCCAAGATAATCCCAAAGTGATTGCATCAATTAAATATATTTT